CTGTTTTGACTGTAATGTATCTAATTCCTGTTTGGACTTTAGTGTATCTAATTCCTGTTTTTGGCTGTAGAGTATCTAATTCTTGTTTTAACTAATTCGCACCTGTGGTTTTTCAGATGTGAATGTAAAACTTCTACACCCCTAAATAAATCTATCACCAGAGTTGATATCTGCGTTTGACTGAAACCAAACACTGTTTAACTAATATAGCAAGATGTACAGTACATGACATAAATAAATACGTCTTATTTGTCTCCCTATAGTTATATACAGTAAATACTCATTTTCATAATCATAATCAGACTGTTTTTCTACTACAAACAGTAAAGGTGTAACATGTTATAGCAGACTATTGATGTCTGCATCACTGGTACTCAAAATGCATAGGCGTAAACGAGTTAATGGTGTTTTTTTTTTTTCATTCAAGATATTCCATATAAACATTTAAATCCTTGTTTCGAAGTATACTAAACACTTGAATAATAGTACATAAACACAAAGAATTGAAGTACCTCTACCTCTACAATACACTTGTTAACGAAGATACATGGTAGATAGTATTTTGCACCGTTAGCCTCAGAACATTAGCTAATATAAGCTATCATTTTGACAAACATAAGAAGGGAAACAAAAACAATATAAATTGCTGATTGTTTCTGTCTTTGGTTTTTTGTTTTTTTGTTTTTTTTTTAATTTTTTTTTTAGGTGGGGGGTTGGGGAGTTGCGGGGGTTACTTTTTCTTTTGATAATAACGACATTTCTTTCACTTTAAGAAAACAGATGACATATTTGGTTTTATATTTCTACTGCAGATGACATAATGCATTGGGCCAATCTAATATCCACTAGGTGAATAAAACAAGCAAGCATTCCCCTTAATAAGTGTCACCACACATACGAAATATCGGAATCATGTTACACTAAAACAGGACATTTCAAATTCTATTATTAGATAGATCTGATTTGAAAGGACTGCGTAGCCGGCTAGGCCGATTCCAGTTTTCTAAGCAACTCAAACCAAAACCCAATCCACCTAAAGTACTGCGATATAAACCACAGAAAAGTGATTGATGTGAATGCTAGATATACTGTAAACATGATATTCAAAATAAAGAGTTTAAACATCAATTAAACAGAATAAAATGTAGGGATAAAATATATTACTTTAAATTATATACCTGAATATTTGGAATAGCCATTAAATATTCATGATATTACAAAGATTAAATTCTATTGATCCATTGAAACTTGTTTAGACTATTGTAATGTCGTAATTTTGGCGATATAAGTATGAACCATTTGTTTTGATCCCAATTAATTGAGTGGGACTTTTGTCACATGTGTTGTCCACAATCTATGAATGACAATTTGGAGAACGTGTTCATGACGTTTTCTTGCAGATAATGCAGTCTATTTCCCAAATCAAGTCATTAGTGATAATGTTATATTCAATTGACTGTTTCTTTTAATATTTGACTGTACAGGAATACCTGTTAAAACACACCAATTATTTTAATTAGCTACCAGCTGAATTATGTGTTTACGAAATGGATAATATGATATGTCCAGTAGATTTTACTTACATGGAATGTAAATGAATGATGTTGGTATACTGGTATATGGACACAAACCTCCAATATTAAAGATCGTATGTATTTGTTGTTGCTCTTTTATTTCAATTCAATTTTTATTTATTTATCAATATTCATATCTATATCACTTCAATACATTTATGGGTTTACCACAAACTTTTTGGGATCCATTTTGTCACGTTTTCGAACTCCCTACTCGATCCTCGCCGAAAGCACCACTTCGAACTAATGTGTTTCTAACCAACACGTTTCATTTGATTCGAAAAAAACGGCACATGTTCCTAGATAGTAGAAGAAGGTATGTAAATTCAATGTATTATCAATAACTTGAAACTCGTTTTGATAAGAAGCGATGAATTTTGTAGGGAAATTCGATTTTGTTACACACAATACATGGTGCTTTGAAGATGTAAAATTACAACAAGTGGTTCTTTGATGCCAATAATCATAGGGACAGGTGGTGGCAAATTTCTGTTGATATTTCGCAGATTTGTGTAACATATGTATATGCAAATAATTCGTTTACCTTTCATGGACTAAACATAGTTCTTGTCGAATTTTAGCGTTCTCAGATTGCTCATATTTGGGAAAAAATTTCCTGATGTTGGCTCATAATAACTGTTCGCCACCCTTTTTGATAAAAAGGAGACGAAAATATCAACATAATCATAATCCGAAATCAAATTCAATAAAACTAGGGCAAAAGTATTGCTATCTATGTAATCTAGGTAAGAATGACTAGACTTGTCATCATATTTTCTAGAATGACTACGGATGACAGCCATTTGTATGGCGATCGCGTATTCATATCCAACCTCTTAATTAGGGCTTTTCACCATTTGGTGAAAAGACCTATTGTTTTTGTTATGTTTCTTATTATTATTAGGGCTTTTCACTAACTGGTGAAAAGACCTATTGTTTTTGTTCGGTTTCTTCTTCTTCTTCTTCTTCTTCTTCTTCTTCTTCTTCTTCTTCTTCTTCTTCTTCTTCTTCTTCTTCTTCTTATTATTATTCCAATATTGTGGGTTCGTAATCTTTTAAATTGAAATATATAGATATACAGTCTATTCACCTATATGTAGATACGTATATGAACTTGTCGATGCCGTTTTTTTAAGTAGGTCAAAAATCCAATATGGCCGCCATGACGTCATAAGTTAAAAACTTAAAAACGACAATATCTCGAAAACCGTTGATAATACAGAGTTTATGCAGTTATATTATTTGTAGAGGATTTCCTTATCCAAATTTTTGTCATGATATGTTATCAGAGAATATGTCGAACAAAAAAGCTCGCTGTTGGGTAAAGTTTTCAAAATTTAACAAATTTTTTAATTTTTTTTCAATTTTGAATTTTCTTGAAATTTTCTTCTTCAGATCGATGTAGAACATCCTTCCGATGAATTTAATGTTTTGTTTTTCGGTAGATTGTCGCCAAAGAAGTGAAAAGCCCGCAAAATTGTTAGCAACAATTTCTAGTTATTATTATTATTATTATTTTTCTTCCGAAATTTGTGGGTTCGTAATTTTTTAAACGGTAAAGACCACACCTAATATGTATTGACTATGTTATAGGTACATACTGGAAGGTGACGATGCAGATTTTTTAAGTAGGTCAAAAATCCAATATGGCCGCTATGACGTCATAAGTAAAAAAATTAAAACGGCCGTAACTCGAAAACCGTTGAGTGTACAGAGTTTGTCTTGTTATGTCATTTGTAGACAATTTCTTTATCTAACTTTTCCCCATGCCATTATAATACAAAATATGTCTAATAAAAAAGCTCGCTGTGGGGTAAATATTTGAAAATTTGAAAACAAAATGTTTTTTTTTAATTTTGATTTTTCTTGAAAATTTCTTTAACACATCGATGCAGAATGTCCTTCCGATGAATTTAGTGATTTTAGTTTTTCTGTAACGTTTACCACTTCCGTTGTATGCAATTTTGAAAATTTCCTTTGATCTTTTAAAAATGCCGACAATTTGGAAAAACTCGATCTAGATCTTTACCAACGGGCTTTTTTTGGAATAATTTATATCAGAAAGGTTTCCCCAGATGTCCTCTACCATCTAGTGTCATTTACAAAATCATCAAAAAGACAAAATGGCCGCCATGACGTCATATCCGATTTTACCTAAATGGCTGTAACTCAATAACGGCTCAAGCTATTGACTTAAGCTTAAAGCAGTTTATAAACATAACCCTGCAAACATATTTCGTCAGAAAAAAATGTAGATAAATGGTGAACTTCCGGTTTCTGTTAGGGGTCAAAGTTGAAAACTGCAATTTCGGGTTACTAACTTTGACGAACTTCTCCTCAAATTCTGCAAAGCCTTGAGTCTTGATATTTCATGTGTAAGATGTCTGATCAATTATCTATCAAGTTTGTTAATATAAATGACCTTGACCCACTTTCAAGGTCACAGGAGTCAATTATGTAAAAATCGTTAAATGGTAATTTCTTCTTTGTTAAGCTGCCCAAAGTCTTCAACTTTGGACATATATATTCTGTGGACATTTCCTGTCGACTGATGTAAGAGAAACGTACCTCAAATTCAACTTCCGGTTTGCGGTAGGAGGTCAAATTTGAAAAGTGCTATTAAGGGTACCAATCTTTGAAAAACTTCTTATCTAGTTCTGAAAGGACTAGAGGCTTTATATTTCACGTATATGAAGCATATGTAACTGGCAACAAAGTTTGATAATATAAATGACCTTGACCCACTTTCAAGGTCACAGATGTCAATTAACTAAAAATCGTTAAATGAAAGTTTCTCAATTTCTAGAAGGCATACAATGATGAAAATTAATTATAAACCTTCTGTGGAGACTTCCTAGTGATTGTCATAAGGAAAACTTCCCTTAAAATGTCAACTTCCGGTTTCTGAAATGGGTCAAAGTTCAAATATACAAAATAGGGTACCAGTGTTCAACAATCTCCTTGTCAAGTTTCACAAGGGCTAGATAACTAATATTGAGGATATATTGATCATCAGATGTTACATAATAAGGCTTGCAAATATGAATAACCTTGACCGACATTCAAGGTCACAGGGGTCAAATATGTTTGAACCTTTAAAAAGTGTATTTCTTCGTTATTATGTAGTTATATCTCCTTAACGTTTCAAGATTCAAAGTTCATCTTTGGATATGTTGTAGAGACTAACAAACAAGGAATCTTTCTCATATATCGTTATCAGGATAAATGTCATCTTCCGGTCAACTTGTCGCCAAAGAAGTGAAAAGCCCGCCAAATTGTTAACAACAATTTCTAGTTATTTATTTTCATGTCCAAATATAATTGTAATCTGTTGGAATGATGGTCGAGACCACTGTGTTGTTTAAGTTATTCATTAAAGATCAGGAGCAGATATAAGCAGTTTTATTTTAATATCGAATAATCATGTCACAAGTCAGAGGGTTGATGACAAATCGGGGAGTTGTCTCCACGTGACAATAGAAAGCCCACTATGTCTCTGTAGACCCTCTGATATTTGTGTTGGTTATGTAGACGTTCACATATCTGACATAAGTTTGATTGTAACACTGCACTAACTGTTTCAACAGTGTAATATTTCTTCCAGTGAAAATATTTTTTGTACTCTCGGAAATTGCGACTCAACTTTTTAATGTGATTTGCTAGTGATTCGACATTTTTAAAGTCTTTTGTATCCAGATAAGATTTCGGAGGATGAAATAAGCTATGATTGGACGCATCTCTGATGATAGGAACAATGTTATGACGTAACACAAGATGAAGTGACTTTTCAGAGACATAGTCATCACATAAACTATTCTCAAAAGATAAATAGAATTTGTATCGACTATCCAACACATTGAAGCAGTCCTTTGTCATTTTTAAGTTTGGTGAGACGTTCCATGCTGCCTTTAGTTCTTCTGAGCGGTTTAATCCTGAGTTACATTTAAGTGTTCCACATTTTCCGTATATGTCTACATCGACACCGTATTTGCGGAGTTTTCGTATGTATTCCAACCTACGGGACTGGATGGTACAATGGCTGATGAACGCTACGGCAGTTTTCGTCTTGGCCATAAGCATCCTATCCAATTCTCTCTCCTTATAGGGCGATGAGACTTTTGAGAACTGTCCGTGCACAAAATGGAAATCAGAGTCTCGGCGATACGTCATTGTCCAGTTAAACATATTTTGATGAAAGTATTTAATCTTCTTCAATCTAGTAGGAGGCTCGTGTTCGAATATTATCCATATCTGCCCTTGTTTTCTCTTTTTGTGACCATCTTGTAAAGCCCAAGATCTAAACAAGACAGTATCTGCCGTATTCATATATTCTTTTTCCTTTGTTATTACACAATTCGACACATGACATTTACTAAAGACGTGCGAAGTGTCCCATCTGTTCCCGACCCAATCTACAAACCAGTGTTGTGGCGTCCAAAACAGCATTATCTTAGTGTCATTTCTCCGTTTCTCACTTCTTTTGCCCGTAAATGAACCATTACCTTTCGGACCGTACTTGTAGCTCGCTGTTTGCTGGACGTGACTCGGGTATATACTCCATCTAATGAATAACTGTTTGTGGAAATGAACCTCTGTTACGTAGAAAATTAGCGTGAGGCCGCCAACCAACAGCAAAAACTTGTTTATGGTTATGATGCTCATATCTCCTGAAACAATATAAAAGTATATGTGTTATGGTTAGCTCATCATGGACGAAATATGAAAAAGATTTCAAATAACAGGTGTGGTTTTGTAGTGAAGTTTTTTGTACCGAGAGCTCATTTCTCCGTCGTCTATTGAAGCTTTCTCAAAGCATTAAATTGCAGTATTCAGAGGGATGTACTGAAGACTACATATTTTTTAAATTATACATCACCATATAAGTTTTAAAACACATCAAATATTTCGAATTCGGTTTCGATCATTACCTTTAACTATCAATTCAGTTATGTGGTTAAACTGTTGACAGACAGACAAAAATTTGCAGCAATATATTGCGATCATGTACATGTATTTCCTATTAACGTTGTTGAATTTGTAGCAATATTGAACAATTCATCAACTTTAACATTATATTTTTTTTCTTTTTTATTGTAGATGTGACATTTTTTAAGTTCCCAAACGACATGAAAGGATCATTTTGTGGAGTGAAAATATAAGGGTCATATAATGGAACAGTTATCGACCTATCTTAAGGTGAATACGATGATTTATCAACCCTCGAAAGGGATATTTTCTGATGCCGAAGACACAATTCAAAGCATTTCATTCCATAACAAAATATCCACAGGTTAATATGGCAATATCTATGTTATAATTTGTCCTCTCACATAAGGCTCCTGGTCTGACAAACGAATGTATGTGTGATTTACACGTGTTTCTAGTTTTTTGGGTTTTTTTTTTCAAACGGGTCAAATCGATACGATATCGATACTTGAATTTTGAAAACTACAGTGGTTCCCTGCTCAAATCGTATGTTCAACACGGTTTTATTAAATTATGCCTTAAATTTCCCAAGTTTAATATATCAAAGTGCTTAACTCCTTTTCAAACAAAACGTTTCTGAGACCAACGTTATGGTGAGCATTCTTAAAACATGTTTCTGCCTATCAATTAAGTAAACCCTTCTTTGACTGTCCATATAACTTCAGTCGCGATTGTTTGGTCTCATCGCCATAACTATTAATATCAAATTACGACAATTTTACTTAACTTTAGGTTCACAATTATACCGAAAGTCTTTCCAAATTATCAAACAACAATTTATACTAAAATATCAATTACACACACACAGACAACTATAGTTCATGTTACATAAATCAATTACACAGACAACTACAGTAAACTTCGAATAAGTCAAAGTCGATGGGACCAAGTAAAATATTCGACTTATCCGATGGTTCGACTCAACCGTGTTTTTGTCTATCGCCTGTAATCGAGACATCGTATATTTAAACTGACTCTACTTTCGCCAATCGTGTTTGATAGCAAGGTATTTATGAAAAGAACAAGACATCTCTTTTTTTATAATAACAATCATTTTTTTTATCAAAATACAAATAAATCGTAGGTTAGTGACAGTTACTGTAATCATCATTGTCACAAACACGTGGATAATGCATACAAGATTGAACAAAAGACGCACGTTACACTGGGTACTTCGTGAAAACAATACTTAAAAATACACATTTACACATATTGTACTCACATTTATAGTATTTGGAAATAAAACAACTCACGGGCAAAAAATAAACGTGAGATGTTTTATTTCAATGGCTGTTTGATCGCATAGTTCTTGGTTAAATGAGATAATTACCTGTGCACCTGTATAAACAAAAGGATTAGGTGGATTGATACCCTGAAATTACATTGTGCATGTAGACCTGTCGACACCGTTACGGCTGACCGATCACACTCGTTACCGACCAGGAAAATTTACCCGAGACAACGTGGCATCTGAATGTTCGACACAAACATGGAATTTTTTGTACGATTTAAAAGGGACTGACCACAAAATATATTCGACACAACCACAGTATTCGATACAACAGTGTTCGATTCATCCGTGTTTAATTTACTAAGATGAAGAGGAGAACAAATCGGGACCGAACGAAACGTTCGACTCATCCGATGTATTTGACTCATGCTTGTTCGACACAAGTGAGTTTTACTGTGTTACATAAATCAATTACACACAGACATCTATAGTTAATGTTACATAAATCAATTACGCACAGACAACTATTGCTAATGTAACATAAATAAATTACACACACAGACAACTATAGTTAATGTTACATAAATCAATTACACACAGACAACTATTGCTAATGTTACATAAATCACTTACACAGACAACTATTGCTAATGTAACATAAATAAATTACACACACAGACAACTATAGTTAATGTTACATAAATCAATTACAAACGCACAGACAACTATTGCTAATGTAACATAAATAAATTACACACACAGACAACTATTGCTAATGTTACATAAATCACTTACACAGACAACTATTGCTAACGTTACATAAATAAATTACACACACAGACAACTATTGTTAATGTTACATAAATCAATTACACACGCACAGACAACTATATCAATTACACACAGACAACTATATCAATTACACACAGACAACTATAGTTCATGTTATATAAATAAATTACACACACAGACAACTATATCAATTACACACACAGACAACTATAGTTAATGTTACATTAATAAATTACACACACTACATAACATAGCAAACATAAAACAAGTAGAATGTTTCAAAACAGCAGGTTTATCATTGATAAATATAAAAAGTAATTTGGGCCCTAAAATAGAACCTTGGGGAAACCGGGAAAATGCATTACACCACCCCGATGTCGCTCCATTTACTGTTACTCTCTGCCGTCTGTCGTTAAGAAAACTGATGAACCAGTTAAGAATGCTACTTCTAACACCGTTAGCGTGTAGTTTGTACAATAACAATGCCTGACTGACTTTGTCGAAAGCTTTAGATAAATCAGTATACACAGCATGAACATCCATCTTTTTGTCAAGTGCATCAGACACAAAATCAGAAAAACATGTAATATTTGTAACTGTGGATCTATTAGGCATTAAATCATGTTGTTCATTGCAAATCAGAGGATTAATGAAGGATGAAAAATGATCATTAACAACTTTATCAAAAAGTTTGAACAATAATGGCAATAATGACACTGGTTAATAGTTTTCATCGCATTTTTAAGAGTAGAATTAAGTTTAACGACATGTCTAAATCAGTGACGTCACGGTTGTCATGGTTGCATGAACATCTTTTTTTTTCAAGTTTTTATTCTGAGTTGTGAACACCTTTCCCTAATATGTAATTTTACAGACATATTGAATTTAAAAATCTGACAAATATTTGGTTTTGAGTAATATCTGAGATCGATGAGTTCATCCAAAGGAGTAGCCCATCTTTATACTTACATGAACCGTATTTGACCACAGACAATTTGTCAAATTTCACTCAGAATATATATATATATATACCGAATTATGATGTTGATGGTATGGTCTATTTTTGTGAGACACGTAGTAACCCAAGTTCGTTATCACTTTGTCTGCGTCTGAATATTACCTAGTATCACCAAAACCCCCTTTCTCGTGAATTCAATGGCAACTACTTTCGAGACCTGTTGAGTATCATATGAAATCATTGTGTGCATAGACAGTACAGTGCAGTATAAACAATACTTTATTTATTATAAACACCATCAAATTATTGTATGTGATCAACAGATACAATGTTTATATGTAAAACTAACTTTAATGGTCAGTATACGTTTTCTTTTAAAACCCTATTGAGGGTATTACTTCAATATCACTCAATCATACTTTGCATTTTTTGCATAATGTCATAAACTGACGCTCACGAACATGGTATGAATTTCTTTGAAACTGACCCTCAAGGACATGGTATTATTACGATCTTTGTATTGGTGATAAAATAAAGTTAAATAAATCTAACTTTAGATTTGGTTAAAACTATCACCTATATTAGTTACATTTAATACAAGAATATGTTATAATTTGAACTCATTATATAAAAAAGGTATTTACGTATTGTATAACTTAAAAATGTAAAAATATAGTATTCATTGCAAGCCAAGTTTTTCTTAATTGGACTATAGCTTTCCTATATAGTTACGACCTATTATTTAACTCCAACACAAAGTCTAACCAAGCATGAACAGTAAAACCTAGTTTTTCGTAGGCAAGTACCAAATATCATTGCTATTATTTGTCCATACAGGTTGAGGCTTCCTTCAGCCATTTACATTCTATTAATCAGTATATTTATTTCAATTGGGTATTTTTCACTCAGAAAAGAGATGGGGATAGACTTTTTAATGTGAATACTGAAACCGCTTAATTTCTACCTCTTTTCGCATTTAATATACTTTACATCGTTTCGTTGTTATCTATCACTATTTAAACATAAACTCGAAAAGTGTCGGAAATTACTTTGAATTTCAGAGACCAGTGAAAATGCCTGATACACGAAAGTAGTATGATAATCTTATTACTTACAAACGACGGATGAACTACCAGAATACCGCCCAAGTTGGATAGGGATCTTACCAGATTATTTCATTTTTCCTATCCTGATCACGTATAA